TTAACTATAAATTTTTATTAGTACACCCTATATGAGATAACATTTTATTTAATTATTTGAAAAAATTTAATTTTAAACGAAAAATATGTAACCGAAGCTAGTGCAATGTAAAACAAAATTGAAGAAAATTTTTCGGAACTAATGAGACAAAAATATGAGGTTTTTAATTTGTTATTCAATTAAATGAAGATAATGAATTAATGTAAGCGTTCAAGATATATAGATTAGTAGTTGAGAAAGAGAGAAAAAAAGCGTATATTTAATAAGAGCGGTCTGGAATAATGTCCTCTCAAGCGCTTCAAGGGAAGTTGAAAAAATATTACAATTTAGTTAACTGATAAACATAATAAACATAATAAATATAGAATAAATCTCTTTACATAAGTTCTCAAAACAGAGGTAAAATCTTGTTTCTCCTAATTCGCATGAACGCTCGTATTTTTACCTATTTCTTAACAAGGAAAACCAAAGACTTTACAAATTTGTAATGCGAGCATACATATGTGTGTGATATGAGTTTGTGTGTGCTGATGTGGTTGTGTGGATGGTACAGATAAATAGTGCGAGAATGTAATATGAGTATGAGATAAAGAAACATTTAGATTTTAGTTCAAGTTAGCGTCGTGTCCAACAAATACTTATAAAAGAACCCTGCTCTAATCATAGGGTAAAATCTATCTCGGTCAAATCGGTTTTTCTATATGTTGTAGCTTACATATGACCTACTGCACAAAAGATGTAATGGCTGCACAAAGCTCAATAATCAGTTATCGAGTTATAACCAGTCAAATATGAAAAAATCGGGCTATCGAATAGTCAAATCTCGGAAAATATTGATTTTTTGGAAAAAATGTTTGAAACAAAAATAGTAAGACAAAGGTTCGGACCAATATTTTTCTCGCCTATTTCTTTACAGGGGAAGTTGAGAGAGGAACAAGGGGAATTTCTGAGATCCCAACCATAGGATACAAATTCCTTAGTTTCCAAATTTTCTTTCTTTTTTAATTATCGCAATAACATTGCGTGTTTTGAGGGTAAAAATATTGAGAGAAATATTGATTCGTAAGTGTCTGAATAGCTCAGTTGGAAGAACAGTCGTCCGGCAAGCGGAAGGTCTCGGGTTCGATTCCCGATTTAGCCGATTTTCGGACTAATATTTTTCTCGCCTATTTCTTTACAGGGGAAGTTAAGAGAGGAACAAGGGGAATTTCTGAGATCCCAACCATAAGATACAAATTCCTTAGTTTCCAAATTTTCTTTGTTTCTTATCGCAATAACATCGCGTGTGGCTCTATGGCTGAGAGGAATGAAGTGTAGATTGTTTATGCAGGTTGCTAATAGCAGTTCTGATACAATTGTGCTTATATATCTGGCCGTACTGAAGATAATGGCTTGCGTTTTGGTTGAGTTCAGCGTTAATTCGTTGTTGTCAGCCCATTGGACAATGGATTTAATGTCGTCGTTCATCTTGAAAATACCGCCATGGGGATCTGATGGTTCGCAGTGGTATTATATTTATGAGTCATTAGCATACCTCCGTGGACCACCGCCACGGGATGGGGGAGGAGGAGGGGGGCTTGGGAGCGGTTCACTTGGGCAAAGTTCAAATGGACACAGTGCGAATGGACCAGAGACCCGGATCGTACCGGAACCAAAACCGATAACTGTTCCATACCATTTTTTTTAGTAGAATCGAAACCATAAACCGTATTGAAATTTTGTTAACTTTAGAACACCGGAACCATAATCGGACTGTTAAATTATTTTTGGTTTACGGGTTTCTTTTGGTATTTCTTTTCGGTTTTTGTGCAAATGACGGAAATGTCATAATGATTGCACTGTACGTTTTTAGTATCCCGCACGGTAAATAATTGGCGTGGGAGCTTTGTTGTTACTACTACAGCATCATTACTTAGCATGCAAAATATAGTATTGCATCATATGTACAACACGTCGTATAATCGTACTGTGTGACGTTTCAATTTCGGCATTAATTGATTTCTTTTCAAATGTATTCTCTTGTACCTACATACATATGCATACATACATATGTGCAAGCCTCTCTTTCCATAAAACAGATTCTTCGAAGAATTCCAATTCAGATGAGAGAGGAGGTGGGAAAAATTTCGGAAGATATGCGTATCCGAGGAGTAATCGAAGAGCCTTAAAGTCCTTGGATTTCCCCTACAGTCATGATAAAAAAGAAGGACGATTCTATAAGGGTCTGCATTGATTATCGGAAACTAAATGCGATGACTATTTAAGACTCCTATCCCCTCCGAATTGATAAAATTCTTGACTAGCGGGTAATTAGGTTTCTACTTTAGATCTTAAAACGGATATTGGCAAATAAAAATTCGTCCAGAGGACAAAGAGAAAACGATTTTTTCGATCGGCAAGAATCTTTAGCAATTTACAGTAATGCCTTTTGATTTGTATAACGTCCCTATATCATTTGAACGTCTTATGGAAAAAGTTTTACAGAATTTGCTATAAAAAATTTGCCCTGTTTATTTAGATGACATGATAATTTTTGGAAAGTTTTATTGAAATAATTAATAATCTCAAAATAGTGTTTTCACGATTACAGGAAGCAAATTTAAAATTAAATCCAAATAAATGTGTTTTATTTAGTAGAAATGTAAAATACTTGAAGCATGTAGTCTCTGTAGAGTGCATTACTACAAATCCCGAAAAAATTGCCTTTGTTATAGATTGGCCGATTCCTCACACGAAGAAACCATTACATACCTTTTTCGGGTTTTGTTTTTATTATCGTGTTTTTCTAAAAAGATTTTTCTTCTTTAGCCAAACCTCTTTATATATTGACATAGAGTCAGACTAAATACATGTGGTGAGAAGAATGTCAAAAGTCTTTTGAGAAATTAAAGTGTTTATTATGTTCCTCTCCAATTCTTTCTTTTCCGAGAGAGGAAAGAGAATTTATCTTATATACCGACGCTTCGAATATTGGAATCAATGCGGTGTTATCACAAAAGTAGAAGGCAGAGGAAAAAGTGATTGCATATTTTAGTGGGGTGCACAATAAAGACAAGCGAAATTATTGCGTCACTCGACGGGAACACTTAGCGATAGTAGATTCTATTAAATCTTTTGGTCACTTCTTTTAGGACGAAATTTTCTAATCCGTTTGGATCACGTTTTGTTATGGTGGCTTTTGTCTTTCAGATATTTAAAAGGGCAACTGACTCGATGGCTAGAGAGATTGCAACACGAATTTGAAATTATATAGTGTACGAATTTGAAATTATTTATTGTAAGATAAATTTCATCCTCAATCTGGGCAGATTGAACACCAGCATCATACCCTTACGAATTTTTTGGCGAAATATGTGTCTGAAGATCAAAAAGATTAGGATCGATGGATTCCTATGTTTCTTCTAGTTTACAGATTTTCAAAGCATGAGATTATTGGGGTAATTTCGGCAGAGTCATACTTTGCTAAGCAACTTAGGTTACCTGTGGATCTTTTGCGAGGAATTCCTGAGTCTTCTGAAGAGATGCTTCCGGGAAGGAATTTTGAAAAATTTGGGAGAGAAATTGGAAGAAATTCATTTTTTTGATACAGAGCAAATAGATTTGAAATCTCAGATAAAAGCTCAATATGATCAAAAGCCAGAAGAGTTCTTTTTGAAGAGAGACAGAGAGTTTGGTTTTATAACCCTCCTCTCCCTAGAATTAAAAGAAAAGCTCCAAAGTTACAGGGAAATTGGAAAGGTTCTTTCCTAATAGTGAAGAAATTTAGTGTATTACATAGAAAAGTCGTCTAGACATAGGAGAAATATAGTGCATTCCGATAGATTAACTCCATTTTTAGGAAGAAATTTAGAAAAAAAATTAGAGTACGTTAAATAGATCAGAGTCCAGAAATGATTGAAGAATAGATTTTTCTATTAAAATTGAGATAACTTTTTGCTGTGTTTCAAATCTATATTGGTTTTAGAAAAGTTTTTCGAAAGAGAAAAAAGATAGAACAAAGAGTTTTTGGCGTGATAGAAAAGACTGCCTCACGCACGGATCCATGGTTTTTCCGTGGACTGTAGGGCAAGTAGGACAGGGATATGGGGAGTCCCTTTGGAGACGACGAGTCCACGGAAGATACTCTCTCTTATCCGAAGATCACCAGAATGGCTGGAAGTCAAGCAGCAAAGCAAAGCAAAGTGCTTCTTCTAAGAATTGGAACTTTATGAGATTGTTAGAAGGGGTGAAAGGAAAAGTAGTAAGAGCAAGTAAGGAGGGAGAGGGGAAGGGAGAGGAAGAGGGGGTCCATTTAGATTAAAATTAGATTAAGATAGCTTAAGTGTAGTAAAGTAAGATTTATTAGGATAAGTTAAGGAATAGAAATTAGGATCAGAAATAATAGGTAGGCGAGAAAGAAAAAGAAAGAGGGAAGAGAGGAGTAAAATAGGAAATATTCGAAAGTTCAAAATAAGTATAGTAATTAAAAAGTAGCGAGTAAGAAAGATTTAAGAGTTTTTAAGATTGTTAAATATTAAAACGTTGTAATCCCATAAGAAATTAAATAAACACATCTGTCTAAGTAAGACAAATTATAAGACTTACAGAGCAAAAATAAAAGTACTTTTGTTATGTAAGGCTGACTGTGTGTGTGTGTGTGTGTGTGTGTGAGTGAGAGAGAGAGAGAGAGAGAGTGTGTGTGTATGTGGCGCGTGCGTGCGTGTGTGTGCGTGTGTAACACTATATGGTAAATCTACCATCGTGCCAAGTTAAGCGCAACAACAGCGGAGGAGATTGTAATTTAGTTAAAAGTTTTTTAAATTATTTCAATAATGATTTCAATAATAATTAGATTGATTAAATTATTGATTAATAATTTAAAAAACTTTTAACTAAATTACAATCTCCTCCGCTGTTGTTGCGCTTAACTTGGCACGATATATTACTTGTGCCTTTTGACGAGAAATATATTATTTATATACATTATTATCTACATTATATAAATATCGAAAATATTATACCTCGGCTAAACGACAAATTGAAAGCGCTTCCTTCAATCTCTTGTTTGAGATGTGGTCATACAAATTTATAAATAAAGTATAAAAAGAATTAGCCACAATAGCACCATCTCCACGTCTTACCATAACCATGCCATTACGAACACTTACGATGCTAGGTTGTTTTCCAAATTCACTGTGTTACAAAGAAATATATATATTAAAACAATTGACATAAAATTTAAAATTCTAAATAAAAAGCATTAATGTGTAATATTGATACACAGAAATTAATTAAATACAATATACATACATAACATTTTATATTCATACAAACGTACTGTACGTAAAAAACATAGATTATTAGTTATGTTGTGATATAATACGTAATGAGAATTGTATACCATATCATTATTAGTTATTTTATATTTTTTACATTTAATATTTTTTATTCTACCGGGCAGGACAATAAGCGCTGAGCGCCCATTTTTTAAATCAAAGTCGTTAGCAACGGTGTTAATTTTGGAAACAGGCCACGACTCCCAACGCGTGCCAAGAAAAACCGAATATGTCGCCTCACTTCTACCCCTTTTTGGATCCCGCTTTCGCGAACCGCATAAAAGAGCGTATAGAGAGAGCTCGAGACGCGGAGAGATAGATTTCTTCCCAATTTCGTAACCCTCGGAAGCATGAATTGAGGTAGATGAGTACCCTGTCTCTGCGAAGATTATCCCAGTATTCCGAAGCTCCCCCCCCCCCAGCCTTTGAACTCAAATACCTTCAATTACGAAATAGAGTTGTATAGATGTCTCTTTTTTTTTAGATTATCCCAAAAATCTAAAGGTCTAAATTAATCCGTCGAACGCGCATTGACTCTAGTGATGCAGCTCCGCCGCCTTTGTCGAGGTTTCTCGATTATCAGTGCGTTTCTCTTTCTATATTATACGGCCGTGACACGCCGATCCGTCGCAAAACGTGTTATATTATTACACCAATTTAATTACCAGCGAAGCATTCGACTTGTAACGCAATCACGCCCTCTCTTTGATATATCGAAGAAAGCGGCTGCTCTCGCGCGGATTATTTGGTTTGTACCGTCAATACCGGCCGACTCCTTGCGCTGCGCCAACACCCGCGCTTAGTAGTCGCGTAAATACAACCGTGCCACAATATCGCACCGACATACACGCACACGCACATGCATACGCATATGTCACGCACGCACGCACGCACTTTTATATATAAACATACCGCAACAATTTAAATTCTCGTAGGAAACACGCGACGAAATATTTAAGCTCACGTGCGCTATGCAACATGCCAATATCTTTTAACGAAATTCTCAATTATGCCTCTATATGTCTCGTCCAGATGGAAATTATGTAGTCATGCTCCCGCACGCCCCGTTAACAACAGAATTCAAAGTACCGCCAAAAAGAAAGCTCGCGCCCCTGCAGGCGCGAGCCTCACGCTAGCGCCGCCGCGGCGAGCGCCATGCTACCTCATTGTGTTCTGTTCGCTCGTGTCGACAACGTGTACCGGTATTATTATTTTCATTTTAGCCTCTTTTCTGGTTTTCTGAGTTAGGATACTATGCCTAAACATAAAAGCGCGAAAAAGAATTTTTCCTCGAGACATTCTACAAACAGAAGTGCGTCTCGTGAGCATTCCTCAAGGAAAAGATTGCGCGAACGTGCTCGGAAAGAGAGACAAAGAAGAGAAATCTAAGGATGTTCATCTATCAGACAGCGTCTCATCGAGGGATTCTTTGGTACGGTATTCCCGATCCATGGATAAATATAACGAAATTCTCAGAAATTTTCGGGATTTTCTCGCGTGCCGTAATAGCCCACATAACCTAGATAGGTGTCAGGTGAGGTCGCCGGTTATCTCGCCACAGGATGCGAGCTCAGCTGACCGAGGCGCTGTACCAGGTATGTCCTTCTGTGGACACAGTTTTCCCTCTGTTATCTGACAAAGGGAGGACATAACTGATGTTATTATTATTCTATTCTCTTTTTTATGTATAGTTATGTCGGCAATTTCTGGCATCAACGAGGTAAGTCTTACGCCAACAGGTAGCGTATCCTTTGCCGACCCGCTTATCACAGACATCCCGGAATCTCAAGATCCGGAAGTTGTTCCCAAGACATATAAACTCTGGTTAACGTACTGTTCGAGGGAACTCAGACACCTCCTATATCATCCTCCTGGAATCCTACGGTTCTGAATGCAATTCAGACAGAGTCGTGTAACGGTCTTAATACAGAGATGCGCTGTACTCTATTGTCTAAATATGAGCCTAAAGGAGAGCTAACAGCGCTGGCCCCTTTAAAACTAAATAAGGAGCTGGTCGCGATACTGACCCCATCGGTTATTAAGCGGGACGAATATCAGTTGTCTTCACAGGCTCAGGTGGCTGCTTGCCTTAATGCCCTCGGCATGTCGCTCTTGCTAAAGCCGAAGATCTTGCAAGATCTGAAGGACGAAGCAAGATCGGTTCTGACAAATTTCTTGGAGGGCATTCATCTGCTAACGGATCACCACTACCGTCTCTCACTGACGAGAAGAGCTTTCACCAAGCCTTCCCTCAATATTCTTGGAAAAAATGCCGCAGAGTTAGCTCTAATCGACGAGTTCTTATTCGGGTAAAACTTTGCTGAAACGCTCAAGGTGGCTCAGGTCTGCGAAAAGACTGGTCGTGATGTTTCCAAATCAGTCTCTCCGATAGAAAAAAGACGTTACAACTGATTCGCCAGACAATTCAACATCGAGCCTACCAGCAAACGCCTAGGAGTTCGGAAAACCGAAAAGCCCCTGCTCGTCCATCGTCGGCTCGCTGAACAGGGGCTCACTATCAGAGCCAACGCCGCCACTCCCGATCTCGAACCAGATCTTGTCGTCACCATTAAGCAACGTAAGTCCGGCCGGTCGCTTGCATAGATTTTACAAATTTTGATCAAATATCACTTCTGACCCGATAGTTTTGAGCGCTATAAGAGGCTACCGCATTCCTTTTACTACTTCGTCTCCATTAAGGCCTTGTCTTGCCGAGCCCAACTTATCGCTATCTGCTGTGCTAGCCTGTGATGAGGAAATAGAACGTTTGCAACGAAAAGAAGCCATTACACCTGTTGAATCTAGCAAGGATCAATTCCTTTCACCTTTCTTTTTGGTAGATAAGTCATCAGGAAGTAAACGTTTTATTTTGAATCTGCGAGACCTCAATCTACACATCGAGCCTCCACACTTCAAATTAGAGGATTGGTGCGCCATGGTGCGTCTCATTTTTCCGGGAACGCATATGGCAACCCTCGATCTGGAAGATGCCTACTTGTTGGTTCCAATTTTTGAGTGCCATAAAGTTCCTCTGTTTCCAATGGTGCAATAAGACCTTTGAATTTACGGCTTTGCTTTTTGGCCTGTTCACAGTTCCCTATACATCATCACAAAGATTCTTAGACCTGTATTTACCTATCTGTATTTACCGTGAAAGAGGCTATCAATCAGTAATTTATTTGGACGATCTTTTTCTTTTAGGCTCGTCCAGCGAGGAATGTAGAGCTAACGTTTACGCTTCGGTTAACCTTCTTCACTCTTTAGGGTTTGTGATGAATTTTGCTAAATCGCATTTAGTGCCATCAAATATATGCCAATATCTTTTCATTTTCGATTCAATCGAACAATCCATTGCGATCCCCCCTTACGTCGTCCAAAATTATTAAGTTTAACAACATTGTTAGTCAGCAAGACAAGGTGTTCTATTTGATAATTTGCCAGTTCTATCGGGTCTCTCGTTTTAGTCTGTCCTGCAGTTCAATATGGACTGCTCATTTATAGAAAACTCTATTGCAGATGCCGAGTCTAGAATCTTGGACTCTGATACGGAATGGCCTTTGTCTGTTAGAGCATTTCGTTGGGTGGCAAGGGCCTTTGGTCCCTTTGATATAGACTTGTTTGTGTCTTTAATAAATACCAAATGTGATTTGTACACTTCTTGATTTCCTGACCCGAAATCAATTACTGTAGACGCGTTTACTTTCTCGTGGGAGAAACTATATTCCTATGCTTTCTCACCTTTTATCTTATTATCACGCGTTCTCAGAAAGATAATTGATGACAGGTCAACGGGAACACTGGTAGTGCCTTGGTGACTCTCACAGCCCTGGTTCCCGTTGCTTAATCGTCTCTTAATTTCAAAACCACTAGTTTTACCCCCTAATTATTCTCTTTTATCGTCACCTTTTAGGACCTCCCACCCATCATGGAGGACACTTGCTCTGGGAGTTGCGAGATTATCAGGGAGGCATTCTAGGCTCTCCTAGTGCCAGATACAGCAGTACTAGCTTTGCTAGCCTCCCTATCGGATTCAATCATTAAACAATATTCCTACTTGCTTCGCGCCTGGTGGTATTTTTGCCAGTGTTATAGGTCACCGCTCTACTCACGGTCGGTTGCTCAAATCGTACAATTTTTAGCCCAGGAACTACCCAAAATCTCTTCTTATTCATGCTTGAATACGATAAGATCAGCGATCTCCTTAATTTTGCAGAACGAACTTAGTAATCATCCTATGGTTAAACGCTTTTGTAAGGGCGTTTCGGTACTCAAACTTCTTTGTCTGCGTACGATTTTGTCTGGGATCCCGCTCCCGTGATAATTAAATTATCTTCTATTTATCCATATGAAGGAATTTCTTTGAAAGATATCACCAAGAAACTGATACTTCTCCTAGCTCTCGCTACTCGTTATAGAGCGCAGATGCTTAGCCTATTTAGGATTTTGCAGATCTCTTTGAACGAGAAGTTAATTATTCGTGTTCCGGATCGAATAAAAACTTCAGCACCGGGTCGTTCTCAACTTTCTTTCCTTTTTTCACGTTTTACAAATCATGAAAATTTTTGTGTTGTTCGTCTCATGGCACACTATATAGAACTTACCAGGGAGCTACGTCTTTTTACATGCGATTTTTTGTTTATTTCTTTCTTTAAATTGCATAAAGCGGTTTCGTCACAAGCTATTGGTCGATGGATTCGTCTGACGTTGGAGGAGTGTGGCATAAATACTTCCATTTTTTTCTACATACAGTACGCGACACGCTTCAACGTCTCAAACAGCCTCAAAGAGTGTCTCTTTTGACATTATTTAACGCGCCGCAGGTTGGACCGGCGAGTCCCGGATTTTTGCTAATTTTTAC